AATGTATAGGTATATATATTTATTTATTTATGAAAAGCCCAAGTGCTAAATCTATTAAAATAGGAAAGATACATAAAAGTTGTATTAGAGGGTCCAATAAAGACACCCTACCAATACGATACAACACACACAAAACACCTAAAAAGAGAAAAAGATACAGGAAAACCAAAAAAAAAAGTACCAAAATCGCAGAAAAGAGTAGCTAGTGACGAGCCAGTTTAGTCCCGTCTCTGTCTCTAGTTCTAGGGCGAGATCCAGATAACAAATTGTTGAGTGCCGAGCTATTTCCCGAAGTAACCAAAGTATCATCCATTAGGTTCCCAAGCTGAAGTTTGCCTCCAATCTTCTTCTTCCTCCTTGAATAGACCTGCCATTCCTCCTCAGAGACTGGCTCATCTGATCATCGTGTTGGTAAACAGAACACCGGGCAGATAAAAGCTGATGAGCACCAAAAGAAGGATTGTCAACTGTTGCAACGACTGTAGGTTCAAGTGTGTGTGAAACATGAAATGTCTCCTCTTCACCTATTGCTTCCTGCAACTGAGGAGGGTTTGAAAGTGTAGGTTGCTCAGCAGGGTCATCCAGCTTCTCATCGATCGCAGAAATAGTATTTTCAGAGGAAGGATCCACAGAGGCGATTAACTCAGACATCATAACCTGTTCTGTCGTAGTTTTCTCTTCAGATGAAACAAATATATCCAAAGCAGTGGGGTCAGATACATTCTTAATCAATTAATCTTTAGATTTCAAATTAGGATGAAGCTTATAGCATTTATCAAGATTGTGCCCAAACATCATACAATGAGAACAATAAGGAGGTCTATGCTCCATAACAATTTGTTGCCAATATTAATTGTGAGTTGTGCCCAACCAGACTTCAGTAACATCAGGTAAAGTAGTATCTCTTTCAACAAGTATTCTGGCTATAGAAGGTCTGGTTATGTTAAAAGTGGGTAGATCTAGCTTCAAAGGGTCCCCAAGTATGACACTAATAGAGTATAGAACCTGATAGTGAAAAAAGTGCAGCTTAAGATTAGGTAGACTAAACCATATCGGTACAGTAGGAGATTCACGCTTGGGGTCAAAATCAGGGGACCACTTGAGTAGCTTCATTGGTTTACCAGCAATGTTGAGATATTTTTTAAAAAAAATCTCAGTGTAGTCTTCAGACACGGTTAGTTGAATTAATACGTGTCTTCCATCTATGAGCTATACTTTCCACTTTCCTGCTAATTTGACATCATCAAAACTTTTCCTGATAACTTCCATATAACTTCCATAGGTGGATGTTTCCATAGGTGGATGTCCCCACTGAAATTTTTTAATAAGAGCAAACTTGAATTTATCAACCAGAGATGAAATTTCTAGCTCAGAGAAAAAAAAATGCTGCTTTTTTTACCACTCTTCCTTCTTATCTTCTTAAGAAAATGACAGTCATCCATACCTTCCCGTTGCTCCTTATAACTTGAGGGGAAGACAGCCGTTGTCTCCCTCTGAGAATTACCCACCAAGTGGGCAAATGAGATTTTGCCAGGTTCAACCGTAGACGAAGGAAGCTCCATCACAGCAAAAAAGCTCTACCCAACAATTGTCGAAGCCGCAGAACTCGCAGCTCGACGAGGTAGAGTTGCAGCGAACGAGAGAGAGAGGAGAACCACGTAGACGAGACGACGAAGATGAGCCGAAAAGTCGGGAAGGCCGCGCAGAAGAGATGACCACGCAGACGAGCAGAAAGGTCGAGACGACCACGCAGACGAGACGACGATCGCGGTCGACGGGGCTCGCAGCTCGACGTGGCTCGCAGCTCGACGTCCACAGAAACAGCGAGACGTGACGACGGTGAGGGAGGAGTCGACAAACGCAGGTCGTCTTCACGCGGGCCGTCTTCGAGCACAATCAAGCCAGGGAATCGCCATTGGGCGAAACCCTAGCGAAGTAGCTCGATCTCGCCACCGACCCCATTGTGTGTATATATATATATATATATATATATATATATATATCCCCTTGAAATAAAGTAGATCCACATAACTCTACATCAAATAATTGATTGTAGAGAATATATTTAGGCTTCATTCGTCCATGTTATTGTTTGTCTTGAGGCCATATAGGTGGCTGATGTGCAAATTGTGAAATCTGTTTCATGTTTCCCTCATAAATTAGCATTGTGACATTTCAGAAATTTAGAAGGCAAAACAGCTTTAAATCATTGCCAAAAAAGGTCAAAATCTGGATTTATTTAAAACTGAAGTTGTTTGAGCTGTAAATTTGTTTTCTCAAATATAACTTTCTTTTGACTTAAATCATATCGGAATATGTAATTTTAGATAAAACTATTGGGAGATTCACATAAATACATAATAGTACACCATGGTGACATGTCAGGTTTTAATGTATAGGTTTATTTGAGGAGTGTTCTATTCTCTCAGCTTCTCTATCCTGGTCTCATTTTGAAACTTGGTCCTTTTCCGAATTACATAAATCTTACTTTCATCAAATCCCCTATTAATTATTATTATATTCATAAAATGATAATCTGATTTTTTATATTCTTCGTTATTTTATTGTGCTAGCACTTTTTTTTCCTCCTAGATCATCATGTTTTTCTATTTGATAGTCACCGTCTGGCATTTATCAGGTCAAAGTTCAGACTTGGTTTGACAATGTAGAAGACAGTGAATATGTTGGTGTGGGGGCCAGGTTTGGTCCACCCATTGTTTCGAAAGAGAAACACGCGAACAGAACTCGGCTTATCTTATCGAATCCTCCAGATTGCTGCACCCAACCCAAAAATAAGGTTTAGTATTGCTTATGTTTTAGGGAAGTATACATAACTAGCACACAATTCTTTTGTATATACATGTCTCACACGTAAACTTTCATATTTACATACGTAACACTTTATTGTTTTATGACTATGCATTAAAAGGGGTAGTTCACTTTTAAAAAGTGTTAATACCGAGTAATGCTATTTTTGGTGTGATATTAAAGATTTGAGTGCTATGTGTGTAATTATGAAAGCTTAGGTGTGACATATGTAAGTACATATGAATTTTGTGCTTTGTATGTAAGTGCCCCTATGTTTTAAGATGCATGACCTCTTTTATTGCTTCATATACAAATGCATGACTCAAATTTTCTCTGTTAGATTTCTGGCGATGTTCTCTTAGTTCACCGTGGCAATTGCAAGTTTACAACTAAGGCTAGAATTGCAGAAGCTGCTGGTGCATCTGCCATCTTGATTATAAATAATCGCAAAGGTACCTTAATGTGCTAGTTAAAAGCATTAGAAAAGGTTTTTTAAAGTAAAAAATTGTGGATAACAAAGTGATACTTAGGCTTTGCATTAATAAAGTTTAGAATCCAATACAAATGTTTTCTATATTAAGTGTCATGTTTGTTGCTTGCATTTGGAGCATAATGCATTAGTTTTCATTCTTGTGGATTTAATTCATGGCCTTAAATTAGTTTAATGCTGCGGCAGCTCCGCTATCTGGAAACAACCAATAGTCCAATCTGTCATTAGTGTCAAGTAAGTTTACGTTTAGATAATTGACAAGATTAATGGTACCACTTGCCTTAAATTTCTGTGATTATCGGATACCCAAAGTGTTTTTGAAAAATTACATAGATAAATAACGTGCATCAATCTGATCTAGATGGCTTTGATAAGGTTAAGGTTGATTCTGATATAAATTTATGGGACATTTACGTAAGTACCACCCATTGCCTAAATGTTGCTTTTTACATTTATGCCACCCAAATCTTTCCTATCACATCAAAAAATACCACCGTATTAACTTTTAAAAGGTGAAATACATCCTTTAATGCATTGATAAGGTGGTATGTATGTAAAAATTGAAGTTTAGATGTTAGATATGTAAATACATAGGAATTGAGTGGTGTGTTATGTAAATCTTCCTAATTTTGTTTGTTTTTTAAATCACTTACGCATTTGTTTTTCCTTTTCCTTGTAGAGCTGTACAAGATGGTTTGCGAACACAATGAGACAGGTGTAAATATTAATATATCTGCAGTTATGCTGCCGCAAGATGCAGGCGCAAGCTTGGAAAGCATTCTAGCTAGTAATCGCTCTGGTAATATTTCAGTATTTTTCATGATATATGGGGCATCAGGATTGTTTCAAAATAAGAATGCATTGAATTATGCTGTGAATTAATAAAAAATTTTCAAGGGGCATTTACATACACACCACTTAATTTCCATGTATTTATGTATCTAACATCTAAATTTTACATTTTACAGTTGTAACACCCAATTCTTTCAAAATAAAAATGCATTGAAGTATGCTGTGAATTATTCAAAAATTTTCAAGGCCCATTTAGATACTTACCACCTAATTTCTATGTAAACATATCTAAAACCTAAACTTTACTTTTTACGATTGTACCATCCAAATCATTATACCACTATCTTAACTTTTAAAAAGTGAAATACACCATTTTTATGCATAGGTAAAATGACATATTATGTAAAAATTGAAGTTTAGGTGTTAGATATGTTGATACCGGAGTTAACCCAAATAAAAATTGGAAAATAAATATTATTGCTGAACTCAAATATACGATTAAAACACAACACACTTGGAAAGAGAAATACAAAAATCAACACAAACAAGCACAACTAAATGTATCCGAAGGCGGTGATGCTGTGTTTTAAGGAACACGACGGAAGGAGGGTTTGAGGGTGGCTGTGGAATGGTTGAGGGTGGCTGTGGAATGGCTGCAACCTGGGACGGCTGCAGTTGGAAGAAGTGCTGTTGCAGCAGCAGTTAGCAGGTTCTAGGTGGTTGGAGGTTTGGATTGGGGGTGGGAGAGGGTGGCCGGTTGCTGGAGGATGGAAGTGCAGTAGTAGAGAACAGTCGTGGATACCTAGGGGCGATGGCAGGGACAATAGGAACAGCTGACCAAAACCACAATCGTGGGTTGGGGAATGGCCATCGTAAGGAGTGTTTGGGGGCTGCAGAAGACAAAAGAGCTGCTTTCCTTGGACGTACTGCAATCGGTACGGCGATGGCAGCGACGTAATTGAGGTTGTGGAATAGAGGTGAGTCGAGGGTAAACTCCACCTCGAAGCGAGATACAACTGAAGCATCACCAGTCCTTGGATGCATCCCTAACATGGAAAACTGGGATGTTAACAATTGTTCTGACGTAAAACTCAACCAAAAAACTAATCCTAAAATAGAAAATAATAAATATATATAGTAGATAATTAGGAGGGGGAGGTACTTACCCTTGGGCAGCAACCTAGCCCATCCTCATGGACCGATTGATCTTGCTCCCCTCTTAACTGAACCGGTTCAGCCCCCTAGGGAGCCATGCAATAGTCTTTCGGAGATGGGGGAGTTTTGACCTCATTTGTCGAAGCTTCTGTTTACTTGTTGTCGATAAGGCTGTAATCGAACTGATTATATCATAGTTCTGACTTGGTTTGGTATAATTATAAGTTATTCATATTTAGCTTGAGCTTGTGTCGAGCTTTTATATATTGTTCAAGCTTGACTTGTTTAAAATTTGCAATGTTGTAAACTTGATTTGTACTTGGTTTGTTTTAGGCATGTGAATGAGTATTTAAACAAGCTAAAAATTCAAACAATTATATAGATTTTCTTACAAAAAAGTTAATAAATAATTTTATAAATTTGATATCACATACTAATTTATTAATTATAATCTCTGCAAAAATGAAAGACAACTCTTTAAACATGATCATATGGGTTGTAATCGTATATTTTAGCATGCTCAAATTTTTAAGTTTGCACTCAACTCCCACATTCAGATGTAGGAGTTGATTTTCTCAGAGGTACATGCACTTGTCATTTTCCTAATATTCTTAATAGATGTATTTTGTAGATGTCTTTTTATATTGAGTTATTTCACCATTCATATTCTTAATAGTATATAACTTTACCATGACTGAAATGCATCTTCTCAACTAAACTTTTTGATCGGGTAAGATCTATGAGTAGAGTGAAAAGTAAATATATGCGAGAGACTAGAGTATCAGAGATCCTTGCATACTGCGTTCTCGTCGTTGCCTTCGATGCTAGCATGACCTAGCAACTCAGGATTTCGAATATTTCAGGCGAAATCAGGAGACACAAAACTTTAAAAGACTAGAGAGAAATTGAGGTTTTTGGGGATTTAAAATTAATTTTAAGGGACATTTCAGACATATCACATAAGTCTGATGTATTTTCACATATAACAAAAAAACTTTAATAAAATAAATAAATAATTAATACTTATTTATTAATAAAATAAATATATAATTAATAATTAATAAAAAAGTATTATTGATATAATAATATGTTACTATTAAATCTATACTTTAATAATTCAGGTTAATTAAGTTTTATCTAAATAATATCATATATATGATTTGTCATCAGACTTAATATCGGTATTTAATGAATTACTTGTTGAACAACAAACGAGTTTGTTCGTGAATATAAATGAATAAATTCAACTATGTTCATGTTTAGTTTCATTTACGCTCCGAGCTTTTAAAAATTGTCAACCTTATTTATTTACTAATTTGAACAAACATGATCGAGTCCTAATCAAGTCGAGTTTGAGTTGTTCATCGAGTGCATTGATTCATTTACAGGTCTAGTTGCCGATGATGGAGTTGTTGTAATCTTCTGGGGCCGAAGGCTCTTCGACCGCGATCCAAGAAGACCTGGGTACTACTGGCGATTGCACTGTCTCTCAAGGCATTTGAGGACCTTTCTCCACTTGCAAGCAAACATCCATATCGGTCCAATACTCTGGGAGCTCACTACTGATCCGTTTTGGGCCTACGTGCATGCATATACTGCTAAATATCCCAAAACAACCTATGGTTGGCTCAACCTGATTTGAAGTTAGGGTAACCTGAACTTCCCCAAATGGTAGTGGCCATAACAGTAAGGTATCCATCGTGATGCCTTGAAATGCTCTCTTTTATGGCTGTCCCGTGTCTGAAATCGGTGTCTCATTCCTATCATTCTCCATCATCACCAAAATTGGTCCCACCGACATTGCTCTGCTTGCAATGACACATGATCTTGAGCTCGGTAGAACAGTGAAGGACGATGTGCTTTCCCTCCTTAGTGAAGGAGCATGTATTTCTGAATCTGTTGTGCTAAGTCATACAATCAAATTGCCATGGTATTCTCAACAAAAAGGCAACATACATCCATGGGTATCACATCGCATCACACCTGATCCTGAACCTAAATTATAGTCGAAAACTCCACTAGGCACTTTTGGTAAATCCCGACCCTATTTTCCTTATTCAACCATTTCAGAGAATATGGTTGGGAATGTCTTTGAGTCATGAGGCTCAATTTTTTCATAATTTGCGTAGAACCAACATTCTTGCTGCTCCCTCCATCAATGATGAGTCTGCATACATACCCGTTCACAATGCAACAAGTGTAAAATATGTTGTGGCAAAACCATTGCGAATTTCTCATTTCTTCAGTCTGTAGAACCCTTGAACCACGAGCATCTCGCCCTTATCTGGTGGAAGATGATACACCTCACCCGGTTCTTCAGCCGCCTCTTCATTTCTAACCTCTTCAATTGTGCCCTGCTCGGTAAGAGACACAATTCGACTCGTCTGGCAGTTGGAGGCGATGTGCCCAAATTAATGACATCCGAAGCTTTTTCAAGCAGACTGTAGCAGATGTGCTACTCTTCTCTGGCTTCTTCTCACTCGAGATTGTTATGTCATTATCCAAATTAGTTTTCTCAACTCTTTGAGGCGTGTTTCTGCTGATGTCTCCAACTGCAGGTGACTGTCTGAATAGTAGTGGTTGTCAAATTTGTTTATGCTATCTCTCTATCTTCATGGCTAAGATCCGGACATCTCTCAATGACTAATAGGGTTGCAACTGCATAACGTTGCTGTTAGTAGGCTTCAAACCCCTCAAGATATCGGGCTATTGAATGTTCCTCTGGCTTAACCAATTCACACTTAATTTGCAACTCATCAAACTGCGCCGTGAAATTCTCTATTGACAGGTCTCTACCCTATATGTGGTGGAGTCTTGGAAACATATCCTGGCGATAATGAGGAGGTAGGTATTTGCTGTGTATCCCCTTACTCATCTTCTCCCATCCAGTAGTCTTGCCATTGTCTTCTCTATTTCTTTGCCTTTGCAAGTTTTCCCACCATAAGAAAACACTCTTTTTCAGCTTGATGGTCGCTAGTTTCTCCTGTTTATATTGCTGAATTGAAATATACGATTAAAATCCAACACAATTGGAAAGAGAAATACAACAATAAGCACAATCAAACACAATTAAATGTATTCGAGGGCGGGAGGGTGGTCGTTGGATGGCTGCAATCCGGGGCGACTGTAGTTGCAAGGATTACTGTCGCAGTAACAGTCACGACAACAGGTTCTAGGCGGCTGGAGGGTTGAATTGGAGATGGGAAAGGGTGGCCGGTTGTTAGTAGGGGTGTAAACGAGCCGAACATGAGCGAGCCCATACTCAGCTCGTGTTTGGCTCGTCTCTATTTTTCGAGCTCAAAGTGTTTTCGTGTTCAGCTCGTTTGCTTAGCGAGCCGAACACAAACTAATGGTTTGTTCACGAACAAAGAGTCGTTTTGATAACTCTAATCACGTAGCCATAAGATGTTAAGGGTTGAGGCAAGATTTAAAAATTATTGTTTATATTAAAACAACATTTGGATTTAATTTAATCATTTTTATTCTGTTTTCTCAATTAATACTTTTAATTGATTATAGTTCTTTGTAGCCTTGTAGTTATATATATATATATAATATATATATATAATTGATAAGTAATATTTCGAGTCAAAATGATCCGAACACGAATGAATAAATTTTTGTTAGTGTTTGACTCGTTAAATTAGTGAACAAGCCGAACATGAGCTTCTTAACGAGCTAAACACGAGTTGTTCGCGAACAACGAGCCATTTTGACAGCCCTAGTTGTTAGAGGATCGAAGTGTGGTGGTAGAGAACAATCATGAATACCATAGGGGTGCTGGCAGGGACAGGGAAAGGGTGGGGACAGTAAGAACGGCTGACCAAAACCACAAATGCGGGCTGTTTGGGGGTTGGCCACGGTAAGGAGAGGGGTTTGGGGGGCTGCAGAAGACAAGAGAGCTACTATCCTTGGGCTGACTGCAACTGGTACAACAACGACGTCGGCGGCGGCGGAAGGGAGGTTGTGTAGGAGGGGAGAGTCGAGGATAAACACCACCTCGGAGCAAGGTACAACCGAAGTACTATTCATCCTTGGATACAATCATAACTGGAAAAACTGGGGACGTCGATGACTGTCCTTAGAAAAACTTCGCCAAAAACAAACCTTAAAACATAAAATAACAAATATTATAGTAGATAACTAAGAGGGTGAGCCCCCTCCCTTTGGTCGACAACCCTAGCCCATCATCATGGACCGGCTGGCCCTGCTCCCCTCTTGGTTGAACCGGTTTAGATGGTCCAACTGGTTCAGTCCCCTAGGGAGCCCTGCATCATATTTAAAATTAGAAATTACGGGGTTTGTATGTAAATCTTCCTTTTTCATTGGAATTTTTTTTTTGTTTCATTAAAATATGTTCTATATGGAGACAAACGCTTTTTTGGCCTTTCATTTTTTTTTGTTTCATTAAAATATGTTCTATATGGAGACAAAATGTACAACGACGACGTTCTATGACGTATGGCCATGTTTTTTTTTTTTTGGCATTTTTTCCATATTCGAAGTTTCCAAAAGTTCTAATCCTCTCTCAATACCATAGATTTGAGTGAATTCTTTTTTATTTGCTTTAAAATATGCTGTATGGAAAATGATGCCAGTAAAAATTTAAAACCTTAAGTGGAGAAGTGTTTTTGATTAAGGATGTTAATTTATTTTGGGAAGAATTCACATACATACTCAATTCTTATGTTTTTACATATCTAACATCTATACTTCAATTTTTGCATACTTCTCACCTTATCCATGCCTGAAAAAGGTGTATTCCACTTTTTAAAAATTAAAATGGTGGTACATTTGATGTAATTTGAAAGATTAGGGTGATACAAATATCAAAAGTGAAGTTTAGGTGTTAGATATGTAAATACGGAATTATGTTTTATGTATATCAATGCCACTTTTTTTTCTTTTACTACCATTTCTCTGCATATGTTTAAAAACTTCTTTTCTAACCCATGAAAATTTTCGCAGTTGCAGTGCAACTATATTCTCCAGATCGCCCTTTGGTGGACACAGCAGAAATTTTTCTGTGGCTAATGGCTGTTGGCACTATCTTGTGCGCTTCTATTTGGTCAGCATGGAGCTCGAGAGAGGCAGCTATTGAACATGAAAAACTTCTAAAGGTTTGCTTGTGTAATTTCTCCATATCTTAAGCAATTTTTTTATTTTTTTATTTTTTGAAGTGATCTCCCATTGTTATGATAGGATGCACCAAATGATTTACTCAACATGGAATCAACTGGCTCTGGAGGTGTTGTTGATATCAATACAATGTCAGCAATTCTATTTGTTGTGATCGCGTCAGGCTTTTTGATTATGCTTTATAAACTCATGTCCACATGGTTCGTGGAAATTTTGGTGGTTCTATTTTGCATCGGCGGAGTAGAGGTTTATTTTTCTCCATATAATTCCTTTTTTTTCTCTTTCAACTTTCATGATAATTATCAATTTTATTTTACTATTCACTGTTATATAAACTTTTGATGGGTAATGCCTGTAACACAGAAATAGAGTTGGGCTTGATACCCACAAAACAATGGGAAATTTACATATACAACACACAATTCTTATGTATTTACATATCTCACATCGGAACTGTGTGTGTGTGTGTGTTTGTGGTTAAATAATTAATTTTTATTGTGTTTTTATATGATAGAGAAAATATCTGGTTTATGCATAATTTTATTCTAGTGACACTAGTATACCTTCCTCTAATCCGGCTGTGTAAAGACTTTAAAGTTGAGAAATGAAGCCATGAGTCTTCCCGTCGGAGTGACGTGGGAGCTTCCCCGCACAGAAATTTCACAGCAGTGTAACTACTATAATACCGTGGGATTCAATATTTTACGGGAGACGGGCTGTTGAAACAGTACTGTTTTCCTTTCTTATGCTTCATTTCCTATTATCTTTTATTCATATTTAGTCATTTCTCATATATGTGTTGTATTCGGGTTTGTAAGTCGATTTTTATAGTGTTTTCTGTCAGGATAGCCGCCAACGTCTTGTGTATCCCTTTCTAGAGTTGTATTCAAATGTGAGAAGGTGCTCCGGTTGTAACTCGTCCAAGTCTCGCGACATCATACAGGGAGTCTGGTTTTGCTGGATTGAAGAATTTCCGTTGATCAAGCGAGTCGTGCGACTTCTTACAGGATGTAAGGAGATTGGGATGTTCTCACATCATTCTCCCAAGTTAGGAGAGGTTTCTTTCTAAGGATCTGGATCTCACTGTCAATTTTTCTTTCCCACAAAGCACTTATAGAGGTTTTTTAAGTTGTAGTTCACCACGCTTATATGACCATCTGATTGTGGGAGTACTGTTAAACTGAACTAAAACTTAGTACTCAGTTTGTTCCATACAATCTTTAAAAAATAACTAAGAAATTTTTTAATCTCTATCTGAAGTGATGACATCTTGGACATCCCTTAGTTGTGGTAAGCACACAAGAAGTAAACTGTCAGTTAGGACGCGGGACTACTAATGGCTCTGTCAACTGGGATCGTTGTTTTTTTGGTATCGGCTTTGGACTCACGACCTTCTAAGACAACCAATGTATCATGCTGGAGTTTTATGGGCTTAGTTTGAATCACTTGCATCTCTCCCTCGTCGGCTTCAAGCTGATACTTCTCTTCATTTTCCTCCTCTAGATCTTCACTGTCTCCTTCATAGCACCCTACATAGTGAAAGATATCACCATTCTATTTGGGAAAGTAGACACAACTTGAATCACTTCATGGATGACATAGTTTTAAGAGTACCGATGGTCTCTACCTTTTCTCTACTCTACATGAGTTTCCTCTGGCGGGTTTAGCTTGGGTGTCTGATCCATTCGAAGAGTGGTGTGGATATAGTACTTATGCATTTTCTCTCCACCTGTAAGACTTAGAGCCTAGATATGCTGTAATATCTAATAGGGCTGCAATTGTACCACATTGCCAAAATATGGTATCAATTCCCTATCTTGTTGTGCTATTCTTTTCGGGTTCCACTAATTCACATTTCAACATAAGTTGATCAAACTCAACTGTGTACTTCTTTACAGAAAGATCTTTCTACTATAAGTGATGAAGTCTCAAAAACAATTGTTTGTAATGTCTGCATCTCCCTATTCATTTTGGACTAGGTTGTGACTAGGTTGTGGAACATTCTTGTATTCAAAGATTCGTCTTACTGTCTGGAGCCACTCAATGAGCTCGGTCGGATCCGTGCAACCTTGAAATCTTGATAAATCCACCCTTATTTCATGATCTTGGCTTCTCATGTTATATTACATGCTAAGTAGTCGAGGTATTGATTCATCATCTTTGAAAATTTTTCGATGGAATGGATTCGTTTCCTCTCACTGGATATATCTCAAAGTCGGCAAGTCTCTATTGCAGCTGGAGGATTTTTCGCCGCATATTCTCTATAGAAAGTTTTTGGAAATCTCGCTGAGGGTTTCTCTTTGGCTGAATGACGTCCTTTTCTCTTGACCATGTTTTAGGAGGTTGTTGGGTTAGTTGAAGGCCGAAGTTTTGGTGGTAGGTTTCGGATGAATATTTAGTGAATGTAGAAAGATTGGATTTTGAAAATTTAAGGTTAGAGCTTGAAATTGACGTGGAAATAATTTGGGTATTGTGGGAATTTTAATTTTCTTTTAAATTTTGTATTGGGACAAGAAAGATAAAACTCTAAAAAATTTATGGCTTGCCAGACTTTGATACAAAAAGGTGATAGGCTAGTTGTAGGATGGGTAATGAGAGTGGTAGGATGAATGGAAGCTGAAAATCGGCTTGAACAGGGCTGGACAGCAAACTAGAAGCAGGAGATGGTTGCTTGGCTGAAAGTAGCGCGTGAATGACGAATCAATGAGCTGAAGATGGCGAGGGAGATCTACCATCAATTCCCAGGCAAGCTACAGACACACCACTTGCAAAAGAAAGAAACTATAGCACTCTGGAGAGCATAACTTAGAATTCATAAAAAAAAAAAAAAATTGGGAATCCAACCAGCTTCACTACAATATATATAAATGTCCCTTATGAGAAAATACTTGATTGAAAAATATAAAAAATAGGAAATAACTTCAAAGAAAAGAAATAAAAGGCAAAACCTGCAGAAAATAAACTGAGCAAATAAAAAAAAAAAAAAAACTCCGGCTTGGAAGCCGCAATATTTTGTCTGGATTGTGAAATTTTTGTAGGATGGTAGAATGCCGTGGAATCCTGCGGGGAGCTCTCGCATCATGGCATGTTTGTAAAAATTGAAGTTTTGGCATTAGATATATAAATACTCAAATTTGATTGGTATGTATGTAAATCTTCCTTTTAATATTCATTAGTTTAGAAGGAAATAGATAGCAGTGTAGATCTGCTTAAGTTGATTGGAACACTCAGAAACGCAGTTTTACTTTTATCATTTGAGTTAATTTAAATATACTTGTTTTTTACTCGGATTTTTTAAGTCTACTTTGTTGACCAACGCTTAATTTTTTCTCTGTTTTTTTTTTTTCAGGGCTTGCAAACATGTCTAGTTGCTTTATTATCCAGGTTAGCTTTTCTTTCATTTTGACCCGCTTTTCCCATTGTTTTAGTTTTTTTCGTAACTTACTTTCTTTAATAGCATTGTTCATTGTCTGTTTACAACTGTACAAATAGCGATGTTTGTTTACTTTCTTGTTAGATTAAGTAGTTTAGATAATATATTATGAGGGAATGATACCAGAACTAGTTCAACACAGCGAAAATGAAAGCAAATTTTACTAAGCAAATGAATTAGGGTTACAAATACGGCTATAACGGAAATAAAAGACAACACCACACTCCGACTAGGGTTGAAAGAGAAGATTCATGGGCGGTGGTGGCGTATCCTCCTTGCGTATCCACCCGCCATCCACCCCTCATAGCTTGCTGCCGCCTCCCTACCACCTTTGACTCTGCCCTAATTCGGTGTTTGCATGCTCATCTTAGTTATTTCCTATTTTGGTTGGTTGATTGGAACTGCTAATTTGAATTTCAGGAATAATATCATCGTTCCGTTGTTGTTTGGGTTAACTTCGGTATTGGATGGATTAAAAAAGGGTTTTGATGCTCTAGGCATGCACAGTTGATGAGTGAATAACCATATGGAAATAAGATAAAATATAATTGATCATGAACGAAAAGACTACCAAATGTACACCCATTGTGTTAAGGGGGGGTATTTTTGTTGAGTTCTATTTCAGGCATCCTGAAATATGGGTGAGAATTTCTTGTTTTGAGGTGGATTTCCCAAGTTTGGAGAGGTGGAAGGGAAGTAAATCATAGTGGATTTCATTATAAATTATGATAGTTTTTATACTTTTCATCATCTATCCTTGCCCTAATGTTATAATTTCAAGGGGCCAAAATGTTCTTTCCAGATGATCATTGGTCATAGTGGGGTTTAAGTTCCGCAAAAGTTGATCCGACTCAAAAGTCATCTCAAGCGGCAGCATAAGGATGTGCGTTGCAGTTGTTCCAGCCAACCTGCAATTTTCCAGTTAAGGCAAACCCGTAGTTGGCAGTACGGACGTGTTGGTTAATTTCTTATGGCAAATTCCAAGCAACCGGCAGTTTTTAAGCCTAGTCCAACTTCCATTTTGCACTCCATCCCCTGTGATTTCCTTTATTACAGTGAAATTGAACCTATCACGGACCTCTTGCCTCACAACAAATTATTCAACCAAATCAGAGAATAAGGACAGCAGGTTTATTGGAGGTGAGCTACAGTCTCCAATTGCAAGAAATCTTTTGAAGGCAAAAACAAGGCATTTTTTCATGCATTCCTTGGTGGTGGTTGAAATTACTAAAATTTGAGAAAGGACAATAGTGTTATGTTTGGCCCAAATACTCATTTCTCAGTGCTGAAATCTTCACACTTGCACAAGAATTCACTGGGGAGCAATTCTTCTGGTTGTTTGGTGGCCTTTTGTGATCATATATATATATATATTTGTTTTATTTATGTTTTGATTTGATACAAAAAATATTTTGCATATTTGGTTAAGGTGTGATTGTTTCTAAAAATACTCAAAATATTTAAAAGTTATTTTTAGTAATTTAAAAAATCTGTTAATCTAGATTTAGAAATGAAAGATAAAAAAAAGGTAAAAAAATACACTAAACAAACATATTTTTTTAAAAAAATAATAAAAATAAAAAATAAAATTGATCCCAAACAAGCCCTTAGTCTTACAAAATTTTGTATTTCTTATTTTATTAGGCTTGTCAGTTAAATAGTTTAATAGAGTTCTTGTACTTTTCTGATCTTATAAGGCTTAGCGTTCATTACTTTACATCCCATCGGCATCATTTAACTTGGTTCAAAGATGGCGAATGTCATCTTTTTAACTAGAGTTAAATTTACATGCAAAATCCAACAAGAATGAAGGGCACAAGTGACAATTACTGGAAAGTTGATTATGACATTCTTGCTTTTGGCTTAAACAGTGTTCTTAGTTGGGTAATTGGTTTGCCATCTTGTTATCCTCTAATGTCATTAAAAGTTGACTCCTTTCACATATTTTTGAACTAGTTACTCTTAGAGGAATTATTATAGAGAGGTAATATTTTCTGTCAAATCTCTTTCGCTTGCCCCATCTATTGTTGGAAGGATTTCAGGTGATCTAATTCCTCTAAAACTGTGTTGTTTGACTTCTTGCCTGTGTTGCTTAAAACTTGGGTAAATTTACATATGCAGAACAAAATTCTTATGTATTACATATCTTACACCTAAACTTTCATATTTACATACACAGCACTTTGGTGCTTTAAATCTATGCATGAAAAATGTGTATTTCACTTTTAAAAAGTGGTGATAGTGCTATTTTTGATTTGATATTAAAGGCTTGAGTGCTATGTAGGTAAATTTGAAAGTATAGGTGTGAGATATGCAAATACGTAAGAATTATGTGCTATGTATATGATGTAGGGTTGCTGTTAAGGATGAACGGTTCAGCGTGGGGACGGTAGGTTCAGCGGGGAGGTTGAACCAGCCGACCCTAATTAGGGCTAGGAGGGCTGCCGCCCCCTTCCATTTATAGTTATTATGCTGTTATTTGGTGTTAGGGTTAGTTCTTTTTGCTGATTTAATATTCTTCATTGTCGTTATTCTCACTTGCTATGGCTATATCTGAGGACGGGTGGTGCTTCGGTGTATCCTGCTTAGAGATGTTGCTTGCCGGTATCAGTTTATAAACGCCACTAAAACTTATTTGCGGATAAATTTCTTGAATCTTCTGAATAGAAGAGCATCCCTCTCTTTTCTTTTGGCATGCTTTATACTTTTGAATGATTTCAGTGCGCCTCTTTTGAAATTTTCAGGTGGTTTAAGCAAGCTGGAGAGTCATTTGTTAAAGTGCCTTTTTTTGGAGCAGTTTCGTACCTCACACTCGCGATTACCCCTTTCTGCGTAACTTTTGCAGCAGTTTGGGCTGTTTATCGCCAGAGGTCATATGCGTGGATTGGCCAAGATATTCTTGTAAGACCATGTTTTTATCTGTGAAAGTTATCTCAAGCCAAATCCAGACGGTTTGGGTCCGAATTTCTAAGTTAATTTTAGGAAGATTCACATGTGCACCACTCAATTCTTATGTGTTTACATATCTGACACCTAAATTTCAATTTTTACATGTATATGCCACCTAACCTATGCAAGAAAAGGTGTATTTTACATTTTTAAATTTAAAATAGTGGTGTTTTTTATGTGATATGAAAGATTTGGTTGTTATGAAGGTGTTAGATTATGTAAATTTGTATAAAATGTTGATGGCTTTTTTAAAATTTATTGCTTCTTAATTGATGTAATTGTTTCTGTCATCTGATACATTGTCTTGATGAATCAGGGCATCACTTTGATACTTACTGTCATTCAAATAGTGCGAGTACCTAATCTCAAGGTTTGTCTATATTAAGCCATTGTTACTTTCATATTATATGTGGCTTTAGATACAAAAAACATGCATAATGACGTGCATGATCTTGTTTTTAGAAATGCTTTCACTAGAAGTCTTTGATCTTGACATTTTAAGTTTGAAGCTAAATTCTTTATGACTTTGAGTATTCAACAGTAATTACACCATCTCTAAAATTTGAAGCATTTCAAAGATGTCACACTGAAAAAGTTAGGTCAAGAAGTTCACAATTTTGTTGAATCTTCTAGCTTAACATTAAATTTAGTAAATTCTCATTTCCTTTTCTTACTATTGATACGAGGCTAAATTTTAGCAATTACAGCAATCAGATCTGCCTAATAAGGATCCTATAACTATATTCCTAAACATAAATTTTAACAGTTATTCTACTTAATGTAAAAATATTTTAGCCTTAATTACATTTCAATACTACAACAATTATGCCATGCCACACAAAATTCGAATATTAATTGAGTTCCAACTTGTCATACCAGGTGGACAATGTAAACGTTTTTCGTAACTTGAACTGACAATCAATTGCTGATATGCAAAGGCAGACAGTGACGACAAAGTGTTAGCTGATAAAAAACACAACCTAGACAATATAGTTATTCCACAATTGACTTGGATTAATTATTGCAGAGATTTTAATTACTTTTAAAACAGATACACTATCATTTTATCCAACTTTGTTATGAAAATAAAAAGATAATTTAGGGAACGTAAATAAAAATTATACTAACCTAACAATAAATAAATAAAGTAGTAACTAAGCCACTACATATTTAAAAACTAACATTTTTTCCTCAAATTGAGTGAGGAAGGCAAGGCAACGATGAATCAATAGCTTTGGAGGAATATAGAGGAAGAAGATGAAGACGTTGGAAGACAGCAGGGCTGAGGGTTTAGCTTTGTTTGTTTTATGGCATGAGGCCCGGTTTAGGTCTGATAGGTGTGATTCAATTATTATTATTTGTTATCTATCTTAATAGATGAAGGAATATTATCATCATCCTTATTGTTGAATGTCCAATGAATCAAATAGACCTTAATCAAACATATTGATTTGGATAGGTTCACATTAATCGTAGTTTAGAATTTGTGATGGAAAAAACTCTCTCTCATTATTTAATTGGGAACATATGCTACATATTTATATAAACTCAATTCTCTTTAGTTTAGGAATGACTTTAATAGAGGAAAGATCTTGCAATTAGATTTCCTCTAATTAAGTTACCTATTTTACTCAGGGATCCCTAGAGGGCTGAATCGGTTGGACCTCCTGAACTGGTTCAGCCAAGGGGAGAATAGTAGCCAGCTGGTTTCGGTTATGGGCTAGGGTTGCCTCCCAAGGTGAGGGGCCTCCTCCTCCTAACTATCTACTATATCTACTTGTTATTTTCTATTTTAGAGTCGTTTTTTGTGAGATTTCTGTTTGGACAGCTGTTGGCGTCCCCTGTTCCCTTTCTAGGGCTGTATTCGACGATGATAAGGTGCTCTGGCTATAACTTGTCTGAGATGGTTTGTATTTTCCTCTACCGTAATTGCTGTCATCTACTTTGAAGCCCTAAATAGTTGTTGCCGCTCTCCAGCACCACCCACCCCCCTTTCTGCTTGTTTTTCCCTGCCACCCCCTTTCAACTGTTACCACCATTCCTTCCATCAACCGCAACCCCCCTTCCTTTCTCCTCTTCTGGCCACCAGCTAACTGAGACTTGCTTCCAGGCGGTAGATCCAGCCGCTAATCCCCCTCCCTTACATATTGTGTCGCGTGCCCATCTCCCACCTAACCTTCTCGTCTCCTGGTAGTCAGCCTCTCTCCTTCCCATATCCTATAGCCAGGCTACTGTCCAACCCCTTGCTCTGTTGCCAACCAACCACCTAATTCCCCTCTTCTGCTGCAACCACAAACCAACAGGACGATTGCCAACCTGCTTCCCTCTATTGCAGCCCCACTCACCGTTGTCCGCCGACTGCTCCACCTTGTCCTAGCCAGAGATACGAGTTGTGTTTTATTTTCATTTCTATTTTGAGTATAAATTGTAACCTCTTTACTTTTAGCACAATAAAATCTATTTAATCTATTTTCTATTATGGTTTGAGTTTACTCCGATATCATTTGATATTAGAGCTAGCCTAACTCTAGTCATATCCTAATGTTTCCTAGCATCTGCGTTACCCTTCAACCAAAAAATTTCTTTTATATTTTGATACCATAGCCATACTTTGACCTAACCCTAATTTTCTTCTGCTGATTTCGAAATTCAGCACCCTAAATCAATTTTTACATCATTTTTTCACTTCCCAATTTTAAACCCTAGCCACCAAGGAGATACATGCCCGAGATTTCAGTGGAGCTTTGCAGACACTGAGGGTGAAACCCAGGGGAGACTTACCATCGATGGTGGCATGGAAAGTCAAATAGGCAAAAGGGACGAAAATTTTAACCCTTCCATAGGGAGGATTTTAGTGATGAAGAATATTGGCCGTGTCGTTTGTTAATCTAGTATCAGAGGAGGTCTAGAGAGGAGACATCCGTTGGAGGACACATCGACTTCGTAATAAAGGTAGATTTACCAGAGTTCGATAGAGGTATAGGTCCAAATGATTTTATTGAATAACTAAAATCAGTTGAGAGGATCTTTGAATACAAAGATGTGCCGAAATATTAAAGGCTGAAGCTTGTATCTATCAAATTGAGAAATAGCGTCTCCTTGTGGTGGGACAACTTGCAGAGATAGAGGAAAAGTGAAGATAGTGATAAGATTTCTAATTGGGAGAAGATGAAGAAAGAGATACAGAAGAAATACCTACCATCCCACTACCACTAGTATATGTTCTGAGACCACTTGCAACAGAGAAACCTATCAATGGAGTAGTTCACGATACAGTTTGACCAGTTGCAAATGAAGTGTGATTTGGTCGAGCCAGAGGAACACACCATAGCTCAGCTCGTTACCTAGGAGTCTGAAGCTCGCTATTGACAATGTGGAGCAGCTGCAGCTTTATTGGTCACTTAGGGCTGTCCAGACCTTAACATTGAAAGGGGAAAGATAACAGAAACAGAACAAGCAACCAACACAAATCAGGCAACCAACCACAGTTGGAGACACAAGTAGGAGCACTCCTCAGACAGTTGAGAAAACTAGTTCGAATAAAGATAGAATCACTACCTGTGAGAAGAAGTTCGAGAAGAGTAGCAAGCCTACTATAGTCCCCACCAGGCAATACTTCAGATGCCTGAATTTGGACATAGCCTCCAGCTGCCCAATGAGATAAGTTATGAATTTTACCTAGCAGGGTTCTGTGGAGGAGGTTAGCAACAAGGAGATAGTTAATGAAGATGGTGAGGCACATCATCTTCCAGCTGAGGAGGGTGAGATGCTTGTGGTTCAATGGGTCCTACTCACCGAGGATATGAGGGATTCACATCGGTTTGTTACAATATATTCTACACGTATTGCGAACTTGAGGGTATGTACTCTCATCATCGATGGAGGGAGTAGTAAGAACGTAGCGCCTACGCAAATGATGGAGAAGTTGAGACTCATGACTCAGAGGCACCCCCAACTATATTCTCTAATGTGGCTGAAGAAGGAAAACATGACCAACATTGACTGGAGGTGCTTAGTGGATTTTTTGATTGGGAGAAAACTGCAGGATCAAATGTGGTGCGACGTGGTCCTCATGGATGTTTGTCATCTTTTAGTGGGAAAATCGTGGCAATTTAACTTGAGGGCCCAACATGATGGATTCAAAAACACATATGCCTTTACCAAGGATGGATAACACATAATCCTCCCTTCGGTGGAGCACGGGAAAGCGCCCTTGCTAGCAGAGCAACATCGATGGGACCAATTTTGGAGTGACAACAAATGATAGGCTTGAGACATCAGCTCTAAACGCATAACAAACATGACATATATTATTTTAAGATATCACGGTCGATAACTTACTACCAAGGCCACCACCGTGCATGGAGGTTCAGGTTACCCCTAGTTCAGATTAGGTTAAGTTGACCATGATTATTTGGGAGTATTCAGTAGCCAGTTCAACTCAATAGTAGATTGCTAGAAGATTGGATCGATGTAGATGTTTGCTCGTAAGTTGGGAATGTTCATTAGGTGCCTTGGGGGACGGTGCAGTCACCAGTGAGTTCTAGGTGCTTCGCGGACCGCAGTCATGGAGCCTCAAGTCCCGGGAGGTTACAATAGCCCCTTCACCGACAATGAGCAGATAGAAGCTTCGACGAATGAGTTCGAAGCTCCTCCAATCCTGGGAGATTGATGCGGGCTGCCTGGGTTAGACATCCTAAGATGATTCATCCATAGAGGAATAGGGACTGGCCAGTCTAGGTTATGGGCTAGGGTTTCTGCCCAAGGGGCATCCCCCTTCTAGTTATGTACTATATATATTTTGTTATGTTCTATTTTAGAGTTAGTTTTTTGTGAGATTTTTGTTTGGGTAGCCGCCGACGTCCCATGTATTTGCGAGAAGGTGTTCCGGCTGTAACTCGTTCGAGGTGGCATGTATCTTCCTCTACCCTTCTGCTGCCATATTCTCTGCAGCCCTACCTAGCTATTGGAGCCCTCCGACACCCCCCTTTCTCCATGTTTTTCCTTGCCTCCCCCTTCCAACCGCATGACTCATCTACGACCACCACTCCTTCCAAAAACCACCCCCCTTCTCTTGTTTTCAACCCAGCTGATCGGGATCTACTTCCAGGCAGTGGATCTGGTTGCTAATCCCTCTCCCTCGCCTAGTGCACTGCCCATTTCCCAACTAATCTTCCCGTCTCCTGGCAGACAGTCCCTCTCCTTCCCATGTCTGAAAGCCAAAACCCCTTGCCATGTTGCTAACCACCTAATTCCCCTCTCTTGCCGCAACCGCAAAGCAAGTCTGCCGCTACCTATTTCACGCCCTCCCACCTCTATCTGCTCACTGCCCTACCTTGTCCTAGCCGGAGATTTGACTTGCGTTGTATT